TTAATGTGCTAACTGTATTTAGGGGGGTTTATTAATCAGGGCGGACATCTGTTACCTTTATTTCGGATCTCTTTATGAATCAAAGGTCAACATTAATGTTTTATGTGTCTTTAGATGTGTTTAATGTTTTGTTTCGGAATCCAGCATGTGAACAAACTTCTTAGTCCAGTGGCGATCGATGATTCCCTCACCGAGCAGAGAGACACCTCTCTCCTGTCAAGTCAAGGCTCCTGCCACGCAGATGCCTTAGCCGTCGATGCCGAGGAGAGTCGATCTCGCCTGCGGCTTTTGGTGGTGGCCAAAGAGGTTCAGACGTGGGGAATTCATCATGGGAATTGAATGCTGATGAGTGCTTTGTTCAATATGAGGTTCTTGTTGTGTGTGTTTTTTATATGTATTGAACGTTCACACATGTTGTCCCTGTTTTTTTGGTGAATTCACGGCGGCAGTCGCTCTCCCTGGTCCCCGGTGCCCGGAAGCAACAGATGAGGATGAGGATTGGAGTGGGTTGCAAGATGGCGGATTTGGGAAGGGTTTGCCCATGTTTACTTATTCTCTCACTCACTAACATGGGCTTGGAAACCTCCTATTCGCAGAGCAAAAGGGTCTTCCCAGCATGAACTGTCCACTTCCTTCCATAGTAGTGGGTCATAATGTATTTTCCTGGGATTGCTGAGGAGTGAGTAAAGCAAGTTTTGTCCTGAAAGGAGTAGATCCTGCTCTCGATGGCCTAGCGGAAACATGCGGTTCCAGTCGCGAAGTCGCTGTAGTATACTGAGCGTATGATAGTTGCAAGATCATCCGAAACATTCCGAATCCATCAGTGAATTGCAATTTCTATCATGTTCTATGGTGGAATCGACCCATGAGGTAGGACATGCGACATGCAGGGAATTCTGATGAAGGGATATACCCGGATGTGACTAATTATGCGGTCACCATTCCAAATGGCACACTCCCCAAATTAGATCTAAATCATGGGTTCCTCATCAGTCCAACCTGCATGCCCTTCCAAAATAAAGATAGAACACTCCACCCTAAAAAACCCCTGAGCAGATCTGCCAGATTTGCCACGCCCGACCTACGCGCCACGCGTGTGTCAGAGGAGCTTTGGGCCACCCTCTTCCAGCGCGACTGGCGCTGGCTGTGCACCGACGGTCTGGGTCCCGCGCGCGGAAGTGGCACTGCCAGGCTTGCGGTGGGAGAATGGGGGGTCTCCCAACGTCCAGACGACTGGGTGGAACAGCAGGACTGAGGAAGGGGCGATTGCTTGGAATTGGTGTTTTTTCTCCTATAGACTCTTTTATGACATACTTCAAGACCTCATGCCTGTGTCTTCACGGGGGGGCGGTGGTTTTATGACACGGCCAAGGGTTTTAGACGTTTACAGAGCTTTTGTGCGTGATTTGTGACAAGTCCATGAGAAAGTTGATCCGAACTTGAGCCCCTCAGTCAGTGCAGTGGACGGGGGTGTGGTTGCACACAGCATTCGCATGGCAAAAGCACCAAGTGGATAGTTTTGCTACTTGCTACCTAGACTCAGACTCCAGAAGACTGGGTTTTGCACCTCTTTTGAAACCTGTTCGACCACGCCCAATGTAAAATGGTCATAACAGACTCTCAACAACGCATTCCCGTCGACTGACCGGTCACGGTACTTACCGGCACGGACGGTTGGCCCCAGACGGAACACGGTCGAGACCAGGGCGGAGCCAAAATGGCACCCCGTGGGTTCCTAAAAGGTCCAACCATAACAAACCCAACGATAGATGCGGTTCCACAAGTTTCTATCTTGTATAGTAATAGACCATGGAAAAAAATCCAAACTAGTCAAGGTTCATCATGGTTCTTCACTAATGGTCACGTACAATAATACAAACCAAAACAAGCCTCAGGGAGACTTGGTGATCAGATCGGCAAAGATCCAACTATATTTTTTTCTTGTGGTTCGCTTGCATAAGCTTGTCATGGCTTGTTCGATTTAATCCGTCAACTCCTACAGTGTATAGGTCGTTATTCGCCCTTTTGTTGGAGGGGTACATCTTTATGAGACGATGCATCTTTCGATCCTTCCTTCTCCAGTTCCTTGTCCTTATTCGACTCGTATTCGACTCTTTTCCGTGGAAAAAAAACAACACATCTGCTCGATTCGTCCGGCGCCCCAAGGCTTCGATCCGTCCGCCACCCATAAACCACGCGTCCGCCAGGCAAAGTCACCGGCGGCTCGCGCGGAAAGCTCTCCATTTCCACGCCGCCTTCGTGGCCGCGTGGAGACAACGAGCGGTGGAGAGCGGTGGAGAGGGGCCGATCTGGGGTAACCCCCGGAACTTCCCGGTGTTGGTTCGGTGTCATCAAGTTCGGAAGGGTGTGTTTTGATGTCCAATCTGCTGTGTTTGATCAATAAAGCAGTTGAGTTAGTGAACAAAAAGAGTGTTTTCAATCTGCAATACTGTATACCAGCTTCTTCGAAGTGACCTCTTGAAGGCGACCTAAAGTGACCCAACAGGGAGGCTTAAGTGCACTCAAAGCAGGTTATCAAGTTCGGTCACTTTGAAGAACCAGGTACAGACTTAAAGATGTCAGTACTTACTACTCCGGAAATTCTCCAAACTGATGATGGTCTGAACGATTGGAGGATTTGACATCACTGACATACAGGTCCAACGCTGGCAGAGCAGCCGTGGGCAAGGTCATGAGGTTTTGGCACAGATAGCAGTGAAGGAGAGAACCACCATGAACCACCTCTCCAGCTGCAGAAGGTAGCGGCATCAGGAACCCCAATGAAGGGCGCGACCGGACATGTGAGGCGTACCGCGCTGTGTCACCTCCACACATCCATACGCTATGCCGTGCGGGTCACAGCTTCAGATCTTCTTCAACATCTTAAAACATCGCAAGATTCTTCAACCTGGACCTTCAAAGGGGTGTCCAATGGAGATCCACAAGTAGTGTAGGGTATTCCATTGGAGACCCCTTTGAAGGTGCTGGAAGAATCTTCTCTTTTGAACTCTCACAGCAGAGTTCAGAGTTCTTCCAGAATCCTGAGTGCTCCCCTTCTTCCAAATCTTCTCATCCTGAGCACCTCCCGCACTCCCACAGCAGCGCCCACCTCCGCCTCTCCGCTCCTCAGGTCGTCGGCGGTTGTGTGCGGCGAGGAGGGGAGGGGCGCCATCAAGACGGAACGGCACCTGGGCCACGGAGGGTTCTTTTCCACGTGGCCGTGCCGACGTGGCGGGACGGCGGGACGTGACGCGGCTGAAGGAAGTCGAAGGGATCCAAACACCTCCAAATCACCTGATGCACTCCAACAGTTCCAAAGGGGTGCTATCCATGGAGGAAGTCGGGGTGCCCAGAACATCCACTCACTTAGGGACATACCACACCACCCAACTCCATGTGACTCCTGGCTGATGCAGGCAACTGATTGTCCTTAGGCCTCCCTGCTCCAAGCTGATTCCCCCCATGAAAGGAGTTAGTTGGGGGGTCTTCCGCCACATGAAGAGCTGTTGGATTCATCCTCCAGATTCGTTGGGGAACGCAGATGGACTTCTGGCTGGGAGTGGGGAAGTTGAATCTATCGGCGTCGACATGGCCACAGAGTGGGCAGTATCGTGTGAGCTTATGGAGTGTAAGGAGTTCAAGGTTTAATGACCCAAAAGAACTTAACCACCCACCATAATCCATAGGACCCTGGTTGATTACCAAACACGGACCTTGCTGCTGAGGTGCTCTCGGTTCTTAGTCCTGACGGTGAGGGCGGCAAGGTGGGGTGTTTCGTCAATGAGTGTGGGCAGTGTGGGTCAAGAGATATCATTGCCACTGCCACAAAACCATGGTAGCTCGTATGCAGCCTGGCCAGTCACCAGCCCAGCCCGGGTCGTCAACAATTCGGCAACCCCTCGTCCAGAGGAATTGGCACCGAGTGATTGGAGGAAGTATTCGGAGAGGGGTTCCTGATCGAGGTATAGCTTTTGGATCCGGTAATAAGGGGCAGTACCTGGTTGGGGGACTGAGTGATTGTCTTGTAAAGTCGATGGTCGGCAAGGTAAGTAGGTGCTTGTAGAAGCCAGGACGAATCAAGCAGGACCACCCAGGCTCACATCACGGCAAACATCACGGCAACCGATGGCTTGAAATATTCTGAACAAGATTCATGGTGACGGATACCTGCAAAGTTCTATGGGTCCGGTTTGGATTTGTATGGATTGGTTGGTTCACTTGGTGGTTCTGTTTCGCTGGTTGGACCACATCAATTTCCTTATGGTCAACCGATTTTGAGTGTGTGTCCATTAGTTAAAAACCCAAACCCCTCGAACAATCCGATTCTTGTCCATCCTCCTCCACCTCCCCGGGTTCCAGTCCCTGTCAAAAAGATGCCGACGGGGTTTGTTCCTTCAACCGGTTGCGATGTGCCTTCCGCTGTGAGGATCAGAATGAGAGTCAACGAGGACGAACATGAAAGACTGCCTTTACTGAGTGGAAAGCTCCTTAACACATTGGGATTTATTCCACTGTCATCTCAAGGATGAACCAGAGGTGAACAGCGAAGAAGGCGAGATGCTGTAAGCAGACCATGCTGATGGAATGGGGGTCCAATTGCACAGTTGGGCGCCCTTACTTAACCCTCGAGACCAACCAACAGCCCTCTGCCAGGACCCCTGAACCTCTATCTAAGGGGCCTTTTCATAGACACCCCAAACGGGGGTTCTGGTGGGCTTGGTTTTCTTCAATGTTAACCTGCTTGGCTGAAGAGGTTGTTCACCTAGGCCACTCGATCACCTCAGCTTCGTTCTTCTTCCCGCGATGTAAACGTATGTTCCCCTCCGTAGTTTGTTCAAACGCAGAAGAAACCACCAAAAGCGCCGGACGAAGGGCGGGCCCCCTACTCGTGGGTGCGTGGGGGTCCAAACACCCCCGTCTACCCCACCCAACCGCTTCGGAGACGATTCGCATCATCCGTGCTTCATCCACCACGTCACCTCACCCAGACCTCAACCCGACTCACCGGGCCCCCGCCACGTCCGGCCTCGCCACGTCCCGCGGTTTCACCGCGGAGCCGCCGCCATGGTGCCGATGAGCGACACGGGGAGCGAGAGCGGCGAGTCCAGTCAGGAGCGGAGTAACGCGACGAAAGCGGGCGGGGTCAGGCGGAAGAACATGGTATAAAGAAGGGAACGCGGTATGATTTGGTTGGGACTAGAAGCTGTTGCAGGTGATGATGTTTGGTGTGTCACTTTGATGATGTTTTTTCATGTCATGCAAAGTACTGGTGGAAGCATTCAGTGTAGTCTAGGTGGCACGGGGTCACGGGGTAGTGGGAAAAAACGAGGAGCGCATCGTTGAAAGCGATGGCTTCCAGAACAGCGCAGCATTGATGCATGAAGCATGGAAGCTGAAGCTGACGAGCAAGTGACATGAGGACGAAACAAGTGGTCGATGCTTTGGAACACTTGCGCCTTATGCATCATCCTCCAAGCCTCTCTTCTTAGGCTTGGAGGCTTGGACTGATGGAACACTTGCGCTTGGGGTTGACAGCAGGTCTGAAGGACCGGAAACAACAACATCCATCAACATCGATTGAGAAAACGACACATCCCTGCCGTCCCCGACTTGGAGACGGCTGGATGATGGCTCCCATACCTCCATAGACCTGCTCGACCCGAACCGGAACTGACCCTGGAGACCAGACGGCTGGGGGCGACCAGGACTCCAGCGAGGATGAGATGGTCACCTGGGAAGGCAGGGGTCGTTCCGAGTCCAGGGCGGTCAGTTCAGTCAGTCCAGTCGAGTCGAGGGTTGAACTTCCGGTCGAACAGGAACCGAAGAAGGGAGGGGGAACATCCAAGCAGATCCAAGCAGGTTAACAGAAAAAAAGAGCAGGTCTGACCAAGTTCAGTTAGAGCTGAATTCAAACCCCGCGGGGAACAAACAACTTGCCAAGGACGAGAGGAGAGGCGGGAGAGGAACACATGTGTTTCTTTGATCATTTTTGGAGGGGTAAACAGCCCATGGATCATCGCGACAGGTTGGAAGAAAGGATGAAGATGATAAGCAAAACTGGCTGCTCACTTGTGACGTTAAGGACTCACATCACCTAACGGTATAAACAAGAACCTTTCGCTATGCCGAGGCGGCAAAAAGCGATGATGCTCTACCATATGGCCATATACGGCCAATCGCAGCCAAGCCAACCAATCGTAAGTTCATCGTCCCTGTGTGTCTTTGTTTTTTCCACTGGTGGGCTTGGGTGGCACCGTATGTTAGCCATTGTTAGCCATGACCACACATGCAATGGACAAAAGTGTCCTGAAACATAGAAGGTCAATGAAGGTCAACTAAAATCATTTATAAATATAACCTGCAACTACCACATTCATTCAGCAACTCAGAAAGATCCTTGCTCGTAATTTAACCCCCCCCCCGAAAAGCCACATGAACACTAACCATCGATATACACCCTATAGGGATCCAAGTAGCTTCTCAGAAGGTGGTCGTAGTGTCCGACAGACTGCCGAAACCCACAGACTTCTGCCTCTTCAGACGACGCCGGCGGCGGACACGGGCGCCACGCGCTGTCGATCCCCTCGGCCACGGCGAACTTCGACGTGAGCGGCTGGGACTTGCGACGTCGGGTGGGTGGGTGAAGCCCTGTGAATTGGACGCAGATGATGTAAGTTTAATCTGCGAACATTTGGGAAGAAGAGAGTCGACCCTGAAATCAGCTGTGGGGTGTTCATGAAAGCTGAACCAGCTGGCTGTTGTGGAAGTGAACTCCCTTCGAGACAATCTAAAGTGATTCCACAATGGACTCACGAAGACCCAGGGAGCACGACTCAGAAGACCGTGGTGCACTACTTAACTACTTAGCGAGGATGAGGGGTATACGGTATACTCCTGAAATCTCATGAAGATACTTTGAAGATACTATGAAGATATATGAAACTCCAGCTGATTCGTTCGCTCATCGAGATCTCCACATCAAAGAAGATCCATTCCAAGCTGCCGGAGGTGTGGAGGTGGGATCCATATGGGCGCGGCGCTCCATCGTTCGGCGCTCCATGAGCCCAAGGACGAGGACTCGTCCACATGAGTTCTTCGATCGATCGCCATACCTCGTTCGCCTCGGACTCGTCCGGCTCCTCGGAACCCAGGTGGAACCGAGGTGAAGATCGGCAACCCGCTGAGCTTCAACGACATCCGGAGATTTCTTCTCCCGGGCGCCGCTGGACGTCGGAAAGGTTTGGGACCGGTGGGACCGGGGCGGTGGGGGGGTTCGGGTGGCTGTGACTTGGTCGGTGTGAGTCAGTGACATGTCGTGTTTTTATGTCTTTTTGGGGGGTCTCAGAGAGAGAGAGAGAGACCGCTAGCATCCGAAGAAAGGCGGTGGCTATCCCAGATGTAACCATGTTTGGTTAAACAGCATGGACCTCATAGGCCTTTCGGTGTCTAAGATGAAGCTCACGGATCGGAGTCCGTGGTCCCACGTGGCGAAAACGAGAACGAAACCGAGGCCACGAGACCTCGCGGCGTCACGTGACCATCCGCTGCGGTGACTGGATCGGTGGGAGTTGAGACTTGATCTCTTTGAGATGAGTTGGTGTGAGACTCAACTCATCTCATCTCATTCCTTCACTCATTCCTTCATTCCAGTCAGGCATTCCGCACCATTCCCACTCCACTCAACGGATAGACGGACCGTTGAACGTTATAGATGTAGGCGCGAGTGTGCGGATGTAGCACGCAAGTGGCACGCCTGACCATGCGTCGCAGGGCCGCCCGGCAAAGCCGATGCCCACATCTGATTGACGACGGGAACCATTATTGGCTTCTTCAGACCATTTTGAGGCCAAAAACTTTAAAATAATGGTCCTAAAAACTATAAGTCCCAAAATTGTTTGTTTGTTTTCTCTTCTTTTGGCCCCCATTGTACACTATTAAGACAAAGTAACACCTTTCAACAACAATGAGCTGATCGACTCGAAACAGCCCGCGACTCGATGTCGATGTTTGACGAGGTCGCAAATAAGGCCCCGTCGCGCGCCCGGCGCCTGCCCATCTCCTGCTCTTCATGACTGTGCCATTTCTGCAAGCGTACCAGGATCAGCTGGGGTGCTGCTGGTATGCTGCTGGGCTGTTGGTGGTCTGCTGCTGCTAGAGACCTCAACGCGAAACAACCCCCCTGCTCGTCATTCTCTTCTTCCTCCTCAGGCAGCTTTACTAGGGCTGTGCCCATAGTTTTGGCCTTGGATTTGACCTTTGCATTCTCCTCAGGCTTTTCAGTCATCTCAGGCTGGGCTGCTGGTCTCTTCGCTGGGCTGCGCTAGTTGACACCTTGACACCTTCACCGGCGGAGTGCACGATGGCCGTAATGATGGAGAATTGCACCACATGACCCAGACGCGCCCATTGGGACTGGCATATGCTCCATACGACCCCTCAAACCACCACCCCAATGCATGATATTCAATATTGCGTTTTGGAGTTGAACGTTTCCTTCCGCAAGTTGTTTTGTGAAGGGTGGGATGCGAGAATTTGGCTGCTAAGGATATTGCCAACATCTTGGGTGGCAACGCTCGAAGCTGAGCGAAGGAACTGTGAAAAAAAACGAATAGCATTTAGGAACCATGAACCAGCTTCGTGTTCCCAATAGTTAACATGCAGTCGACCGGTTTCTGATTCATGGCTGGGAGTGCTTGAAATGATGAAATGCAGGTGTTTTCTTAGGCCTTGGGAACTTCTTCAGCAGTGCGTTCGAAACATGTGTTTCCAACTTACTCTTATTCTTGGACCAACCAGTGCATATAGAAGGCGCCACCTTTCTTTCTGCACCGGACACCCACCCACCCATCAAGTCGCTCAGGTGTGGGGCCATTGTGGGCTCATCATCCGGGCCACTGAGGTTGGGTGTGACGCCGGCCGCGCGCCATGAAAACGACATGTGCCCAATGAGGAACACATATCGATTGTGCGGTTTGCTGTGGGGTTCATGGTGTGTTATGGCTGGGCCTGCTTGGTATGTACATAACAGGCCTAGAACCTGGATGACCTCTATCTTGGACCACCAACCACTCAAAAACAGAGGTCAAATGGGTTCTAACTAGGTACTTGTAAATGTATTATAGAGATATATATGAATTGTTGCGCATGTCTCTTCCGGAATCCACCTCGCGTTAGTTGGGTCCTGGCCTACTGAAGCAAGCTGTGGAGCTCGGTGCGAGTCGTGTCGTCATTTTTTCAGCTTCACTTCTCGACGGTGCCAGGTCTATCGCTTCCCCGTCCTCTATGGTCGATCGGCGGCCACACCCTTTAAGGAGATCCATGGGCGCGTCAATCGCTGATCAGGGTGGGAAGCTGGGTGAACGGATGGTGAATGGTTGCTCCAAGTGAGTCGAGTTCATGTCGGGCCTGGCGGGCCATGGCCGGGGACCAGGTGTGTGTGTGTGTGTGTGTTTCTTTTTTTCAGACCCAGAATGACCTAAGCAATCCTAAGCAATCCTAAGCACAAACAAACATATCAAGGAAGGCTTTGGCCGGTGAATCATCTCAAATGACCGGCGTCGATGGGTTCTCTTGGGGTGACACAGGGTGATATGGATGCGATCGATTTTTTGGGGTCAAGTTTGGGGACTGAGGAAACAGTTGCAACATGAAGAACCCCTTTGTTTGACCGATTTTGCACCATGTTTTCCACCCTGGAAAACCACAGGCGCGTTTGAGATGATGTTCAAAGACTTTCCTCCAACATGAATTGCCAATTGGTTTCTGAATAACAGGGCGCATGGCTTCGCGACAATATCATGTTGATTTAGGAGTTATGGAAGATGTCGACATGATGTCACTGTTGGACATGATTCCTGTCTATTCTCGGGGTGCCCTTTTTTGTTTTTTTCGGATCCCCCCTTGTTCTTGACACGTTTCGACATCCAAGATCTTTTTCCCGGGATGGCCAGCTGGGCCATGAGTCATGTCACAGGACAAGAAGGAAGGTCGATTAAGACCGATCGTGGAGCTGGATTTCAATGTCGACGTCTTCATGCCACTTGGATTCGTTGATCATCTGGCAGGAGTTTGGTGTCGCGAGAGCATTGGAAGACCCCACGGTGCAGGCAGGGTTTGGGAAAACCCACTTGGATTCGTTTACAGTCTTTTGCAAGATTTGGGGGGATCGAAAGTTCTGCACAACTCGCCCAGAGTGCGAAGGTCTGTGACACCCTGGAAGGGCGATGTGAGCGATGCGACGTGGAAAAATTGCACTGCATCAGGGGGATTGCACCTCCTCACCCAAAACAGAACGAGGCCTTTGGAAGCCTTGTTCATGATGCTATATACTTCGAGGCGTTTCTCTTCTCTCTTTGCTTCGTATCGCCACGCGGAGACGGTCGTGTGTACGAAAGGGTCATGTTTTTATAGGGTCCAGGCGTATAGAGTGTTTGGGTGTGTTTTGAAGCATCCTGTGTAGGTTGGATGGTTCTGTTCATAAGAAGATTCATGGTCACAGGCTCTGTTTCTCAAGGGAACCAAGTGGCCCTTCAATAGGAACCGTTGTTCATGTCTAGTCCCCAGACACGTAGGTAGAAAGACCCCTTTTGATTTCATGTGCCACGAAAGCATCCAAGATCCATTCATCTTATATACTTGTTCATGCTCTAGATACCACGAAGAAGAGTCAAAAATGGTGGCCAAGGTCTCCGGTCAGACAGAAAGAACCGCGACTTACGGAACCCGATCAGGTCTTCGTTCGCCATGCCCAATGCCCACCCGAATTCTCATGACTTCTCGACGTTCCTGTGGCCGTGGACCCCCCGATCGTGCTCCCGCAAGCTCCCGCAAGCTCCCGCAACGTTCGCTCCACCGAGAGACGCGGCGCGAGTCGAAACCGAGTTTGGACCTCTTGCAGAGCGCCTCCAACATGCCGACGCCGCTGGGACCGCGTCGACTTGAGGTCGAAGGTCGATGCTTCGTTGGTCAAGCATATCACAGTCTTACAAAGAGAAGGCGGTACTCAATCCATCAGTTTTTAACTTTTATGTTGCTATAGCCATATTAATGTTGCTATATTAATATATACTATATTATATATACGTACTAACTTTAACCGAATCAAGCGGCGAAGGCATGGTCCTTACTGGACCACTGAACCGGCATTCGCCACCAGATCCCCTTGAGTGAACAGGAATCCCTTCGGTGCTTCGGGAAAGCCTATGGCGGTCTTGGCAGTTTCCAGTTCGATGGTGGTTCTCTTTTAGTTGCATCCCAGTTACCACTATATAAGGAACCAGGGATTCGTTTGGTCTATGGTGTTAGTCTTTGGGTACCAGCTATATATAGTCGTAACTGCATGCCCTGGGCTCTTTTAATTGCATCATCATCGCTTTGCCTGTCTGAGTCGTATTTTGCCGGCTAAGATGATGGCCAAGTACCAAACCGCCCGCCGGCCGCGGCCTGCCGCCCAGGATTTTCATGTCCCAGATTGGCGTGGTCATCCATCCAGAGACCCACGACATTTGCATGGTGAAGCGCATTCGTGGCGGCGTCCCTGGGCCCCAGCTACGCGCGCCGCCGTGCGGTGGGTGGGCAGGGTTATGCGCACGCCTCCAGATAGGCGCACGGCGCGCGGTGAGGTTTGGGGGGGTGGCGATGCCGCGGTGGGGTTTGCAGGGTGTTAAATGGATTCACCCGAGGCAGCGTGATGGGATCCCATCGATTTTTCTCACGACTGGACGGTCGAACACATCGTACATCATCGTACAGAAGAAGAGGGTGATTTGTGGATGGAAAGCCCGCATGATTTGGGATGGCCAGCTACCATGTCCACGTGCCGGCGTGCCAGCAACGCGACCCCACCGGCGACTTCGAACGACAGCCAAGTTGCAGCGAAAGCTGTGGACCTGGTTCTCAAGGCATGATGAACATGGAAACCAGGGTTGCAGGTCAACGCTGTAGAATCAAGCTGACGATGTCTACCACTACCAGCAATTATACCAAGTCCATCCAAGTCCATATTCATCATGTTGGGGATTTTGTTTCTGCATTATAGGGTGTTGAGTACCTTGGTTCGTTGGTGTTTGTTCATAAAATGCCAGAACGTACATACAATGTATGGAAGGAATGGACGGATGATTCTCATCCTGCCCACAAGCAAATTCCGTTCGCAGGTAGCGAAGCACTGTGGAATCCACAAATTCAATTAGGCCAATTAGGCCCCAAATACTTCACGGGAATCACTCAGAAGCAGGGCAGCGGTGAACGTTGCCACGTAGACCCTTCTGGGTCAAACCCGCTGATATACCCTAGTCGGCTAGTCGGCTAGTCCTTGGAGTAGCTCTCAAACCATCCATGATCTTAAATCAACCCCAGCCACTGTTTGTACCACTGCAGATGCCCCTTTTCTTTTCCGCAACTCGCTGGGTTTTCGGACACCGAATGAACAGAGGTTCTTCTCAGAGAAAGCCACGATGGAGGTCCGCTGGTGATTCAGCTCCGGGGCTTGCAGCAAGTCCAGTCGTCCAAATTTGAAAGGACCATCCGACCATCTGGGTGTCCTGGCTGGACTACCCCCACACTACCGCACTAGGCTTCCAGACAGGACACCCCGAAAACGGATGGTCCAGGTCAGGTCCTTTTCATGGTGATTTCAGGCAAAGGGTCAGAAGAACAACCACCTGTATGACGATGCTCTAGGTACCTTTATTCATATGACTCGATCCGGGTAGACCCCCGTGGACTCTGCAGATCCGTTCTGGTCGACCGGTTCTGGCCATCGGCCGGGTCCGAGTCTACCGCGGGAGGGGGTTGGGTAGCTCAACGAGGTATAGGATGTGAGCTCCATGGGCCCCACTCAGAAACAACATCACAAAGTCCACCGTTGATCGCCGTTGATCGGATGTGGTTTGCGCTTCTGCATAGGGCATAAGGTCTTTTTGTTGGTAAAGTGAGTAGGCGCAGACCATGGTCCCTGACTCCAGATGGTCTCGTGAGAGGAATCAAAGAAATCAGGATATAAAGAACACATACACCCTGGAAGACCAACATGGAAGTGGCGAATGGCCCCTTGGAAGACCATAAAATCCACTACAAATAGGTGGATGTCCACTTCCATGTGAGTGTTCAGAAGGGGTAAAAAAAAGTCCATCAAGATGGATTCAATTCAAGCTTTTGGACCAAGACCAAGAAAGTTCAGCCCCTTTGCATCCTTTTTCGCTCATTCGTCCGTCTTCCCACCAAAAGGAGGAAATCCTACAAAGCGGGGGAGGCACTCCTCTCGTGTTCTTTTTGGGATTCTTTACAACCAAGCCCAGCACAAAAAAAGGGTCACTCACAAAATGCTACAAGATCACAGGGCCAAGGTGGCGCATGACTAGCACCATTGTTGTCAAGCTCCAAATGTCTCAAAAGGTCTCAAAGTTGTGTACCATGAAACTCTGATTGCGACATGAGACAGAGAAACGCACGTGCATTTTCCACAAGACAAGTATTTTCATGTTCCACCCATTCCTCAGCCCCAACCAGACGAACTTTGTACCTCCATGGGTGGATATGTGTGTTGCTTCCTTTGTCTTCACTCTCAAAAGATCCCTTCGGAGCACACCCCCGACCATACGATTCACATCCTTTTCCGCCCAAGAGCACCGGTAGCTCCGGTTGGTGCGCCATCCAACCCCGGTCGGTATCTCTCCGAAGCTCCGGAGGGCCGAGCCTTGGACTCCCTGCTACGACGGATATGCACAGAAGGATCGGAAGACGGGTGCATTGAAAAACAACAGCACCACCGTGACCGACTATGGACTATATGATATATAATTATGTTGAACATCCTATTATATACAAACCACGTAGCCGCACCGGGGTGCGTTCATATCTCCCAAGGTTTCTCCAAGATGGCTGAAGCATCCGACTCAACTTTTGCCCCCAATTTGTGAGGTAACAGATGGTAACAGACTCTTCCAACAGAGTTCGAGTCCAGCTGAGCCGTTTTCTGAGGATCTTAATGTCACCCTTCACGGCCGAGTCCTTAAACAGGCAAGGAGCCGACTGCGCTGACCGGTTGGTTGGTGGAGAGCGGTTTTTGGCGGAGTTTTTGTTGGAGAGGTGCACTACGTCGATAGATGAGTTGGAACGTGTTTGGGTTGGGGAAGATTCATGGTGCCTAAAGCAAATCCCGTATTTTTCATGTGTAGTTTGCAGGTATGTCAGGCAAGATCTATCCCTCCCAAGACACCTCAATATCACTTGACCGGTCTCAGTTCATGCAAGTTCGCCTTCCTTTTTTCTGGTGAAGAGTTGGCATGAAGGTGGTTGGAATACTCCTCTCGTGTTGGGGAATTCCCACTGGGAATTTTGGCGTGATTCTGTGGATCCAACTGCCCAAAGGCTCATTGGACCCTCAGTTCGCTAGGGTTTCAACATCGGCCCGAAAACGGCCTGTTTTTCAGGCAGCTGCTGTCGGAGGCGGTGACGGAGGTGCTGAACACCCCAGTGACTCGGTCTCTTTTTGGAACAAAAGATCGTCGCACGGCAACCATCTTCATTGCAAGCAACCCTTCCCTTCTCTTCCGTGCAGTAAAACAAAGTACCAAAAGCCAAATTTGCTTCATGTTGTTCCACCGACATGTCGAAGTTGTTGCTTCGAGCGCCCCAAGGAGATGCGCTGGAGCAAGGCCACCGCCGTGAGGGCCTTCTTCCGCCGCTCGGATGACTCCCGACACCGGGGATCCAGCGAAGCTGCGCCCGGAGCGCCCGGAGAGACAGGGCGCCTGTGGATGGTTGGGAAGGCGCAAGTCTGGCCTCAAAGGAAAGAGGTTTTTAGATGTTTTGGTTCGGTCGCCAGAGACACATGGAAGGCAGCGGATGAAATGATAGCGCGGGGGGGCGATTTGAAGCCAGGTCGTAGCTCTTGATCGTGTTCCCTTGTGAGATGCTGTGGCTCAAGACCATTGGGACGCGTGACACTTCGACCTGCAATCATGCAGAAAAAAAACTAATTCATAGGCGCAGGCTTCCTGAGACTTGGACTTGTCCTAGTTTATTAAGATATGGTAAGATCCTTCGGAAGTCACATCACATCAGGGAAGATCAGACTATAGGGTGTGTCCCTATTACCATTATGGATTAATTATCATGTTGGGGGAGGGTCTTTAATGACCAACCATCATCCACTGCATCTGGTCCGGGCCCTTGGTCATGGGATCCATACCCGGTCTAAGCTATGGTTTGGGTTTCCCTCAGCCGATTCGATTGAACCTCGAGGCAGCGACTTCAAGTCCCTGTGGTGAGGTTCGCCCTTCCGCGTCCATGTTGCAAATCTTAATGATGGAAGAAACCTTGAGCATCCTTGAACCATATGAAGCTCTACACAATCATCTGTTGCCCTGAAAGTAGATCTATCTCAGGGTATGTTGATTCCCCCATTTTCCTCTTCAAGTTAAGACCAGATTTCCCAGTCACTTCAGCTCAACAAACCTCCCCGACCTCCGTTTGCTCCTTCGAAACCTCCGTTTGCGGCCACACCGAGTGTCGGCCACGCCACAGCCGAGGCCATGCGCTCTTAAAGCCATCCAGGCGCGGCAGGGCGTCAGGTGCTCTGACCAGGTGGAGGGTCGCTATGGGGCGCTATGGGGGTGTCGCTTACGGGGGCGCTATATGAGCTGGAGAGAAGCTCTCTTGAAGTCCAGAAATCATGAAGCCCATGTTCACAGGAAGGGTTGGGCACAGATGATATGATATCCGGAATGCCGACCACGTGAGCCGGGTTTCCGACCACCAGGCTCAGTCTATTCCCACCCAGTTCGTGTCATGGGCCTTTATTGGGGAACGGAGGAAACAGGTGAACCCATGGATTGTCCAGGGAAACGGCTTAGGGGGTCAGTCATTGAATACTGACTGCAGTATGTTAAAGTAGAGATGGTTAGAGTATTTTAAAGTTGAATGTCAATGCATGACAAGTCTAAATATTCACCATGATTCACCACATGTGGTGAGACCTGCAGTGGTGACGTACAGAGTTTGGGCGGCTGAATGTGAATGTTTCTGCTTCACGAACTCCTCACCATCCCGTAGGTACAAGAAGAAACACGACAGACAACGGCTGGCAGCCCATTTGCAGGAGTCGCTTCCAGCGGGGTGTTTTTCGCTCGGTGAAAGTTCGTGGGTTCGCGGATGAGTGGATTGACGGTTATAGTATCGTTTGCGAATCAGTGGAGATCAGTGTAGAACCAGTGATCCTCCCAGAGAAATGTCTCATGGAAAAAAGTTAACTTAACATCCTTTGACATGGCTGCAGGTGAAGAATGCTGATTTATTTGTTTCTGCGCATCTGTTTGTATTACACAAGCCATCTCCACAAGTTTCCTCATAGATGGCCCGTTCATGGCCTTTGACCAAGAACCATGCGTCTTTCTGAACCCTCCCTTTCGGAAATCCGTATTTTCTTGGATCAAGACAGGGCGCTTCAGGACAGTTCCCCCCCACTGTTCACACCATGTGGTTTCCGCAATGCTCCATGTTCGGTTCATTCTCCCATCGGCGCAATGCGCCGTCCGCAAACGCGCGGTCGATCCGGCGGCGGCGGCGTTTCCCTCTTCCGCCTCACCGCGCGCGAGGAAGGTTGGTTGGTGCGTCCTGTGTGCTCCACCGTCCCACCGAGAGTTTGGCAAAAGTATCTGCGCCTTGGTGTTCCGGACCTCTTCCGGCCCGATGGCTGGGATGGGGTCGAGTCGGCCCAAAGTGGTGGTGGAGTCGAGTCGGCGTGGTTCAGGTCGAGAGAGGAGGCAGTGTTTGGCCGGAGATGATGGGAAGTCAGTGCTGCGACTGACCGAAGTCAGTGCAGAGACAGACCGAAGGAACCATCGTCTTCATCTTCGATCCCCCACCAGTCCGGACAGGCGGACCCTACTGACCGTACCCTGCGAGTAAATAGGAAGAGCAAAAGTAAGGGCAAATGAAAGCAAATCAGAGAAGGAAGAGGAAGTGGGAGGAGAGGTTAGGGGCAAAACTCCGTTTGGAGATTCTACAGCAGTCCGCAGTCAGTGACTGAGCAGATCTGAGCAGGACGATTTCCTCTTAGTTGGTAGGTTCACACGTTTCAGTTGTTTACCTCATGGCAGCATCCAAGCACGCAAGCTCACAGTGATTCGAATCAGCGATCATCGGAGAATCCTCCTTAAGGCAGAAGCGAAGTATGCTCCCTCGCGCACCATTGCCGGTGGTGAACACCGATGGTTTGAAGGCGATCGCCATTTGCGCTTGGCTTCTTCGGTGACCGTCACGGTCGTCACGGTCACCGAAGGAACAACTATACACACACACACGGCAGTAAACATAGAAACTAAATAGCTGATATGTGCTGATATGACCTTTTTGGATGTGTTTTAAAGTGTCTTTTCTTGAATCATTGAATCTATCCAGCATACAATGTTGCCTTTTCTTCTTTGCCAATTTAGGTACCCTAGACTTCCAAGACCATTAAAACAATGGTTGACCTGGTTCTTGTAGTGTAAAATCCTTAGTTGATTCGGTATTCAGCCTATCAAATTAATGGTGGGCCAGGAAGCCTAGGGATTAGCTAACACTTTCGTTGAATGCAGAATATAGTCTGAGACTATCCTAGGTCCTAGACGATTGTAGACTCCAGGCGGTCGCAACCGACCCAGCTGGTCCGTTTCCACTAGAAGTGCATGAGGTAGACTCAGTCAGGTAGACAGAACATCCAAAGGAGGGCAGGAAGATGTGTGTGCCAAGTTCAACAAATTTCAACAGAACCACTCTCCTTCAGCTCCACGCCAAGAGCATCCTCGCTAAAAGACTATACCCAGCGGTTCTAATTCTAGCCCAATCAATTCCCAAATCCACATCAATCCACGTCCCTTTGCTTTTTGAGGTCATTCATCACCCTGTTTTCACCACTTCTTCGTGCCCTACGCACACATCACCTCGCTCCGTCTCGACGTCGAGAGACGTCTCTCGACGCCGACGTCTCTCGCAGGTGTCGCGAGGTCGAAAGAGTGGATCGCTGTTGCTCTACTGCGGCCAGGGCATGGCCAGCCTCTCGACGAGAAAGTCTCTGACCCGCCCCACAACCCTCCGACCCGCGGGTTGTACACGGAGTCATGCAGATCCGAGTCGGGCAATGTAGGTAGTGAGGTAGTGGTTTTCGGCCCCAAAGGTAGAAGCCAGGGTGGTTTTTTGGGAAAGTTTCGCGGCTCCCGGTGTTTTGTTGGGGGAGGGTTTTTGATGGGAAGGGTCCCGTGAGAGGAGGTTTGAAACCTTGACGGGTTTTCAGAAATGTTGGGCAGGTTTCTTTCAATCTTCGATTTGAATCTTTGGGTATGATGAACATTTCATCATACCATATCTTCTACCGCGGTCCTTTTTCTTGTGTTGAACACTTGGTTAACGAACCATTCAAACCGGTGGTGCACGCACCCGGTGGTGTTCCCCCGGCAGAACCGGCTCCACAGAACTGCTGGTTGCCTTTGTGGCTCCACTCCCTGCAAAAGAATGGAGGTTCTCTCGGTACCAAAACCCATCTACTATCACCTGCTTGTATATGCTGCATGCTTGAAACTTATAACTTATATTAGTATCTTCCCTGAAAGAATCATGATTGTTTCAGCGCATACAACCCTCAATCCCAAGATAGAAATGCAACCTACTGCTGCGAACTAGGCTTGAACTGGTTTTAGCAACGCTTTGGCATCAGCATCATTGTAAGTGAGATATGTTGGGTGTTTTGCAGTTTCTGGAGAATTGAGCACTGCATAGTATTGCTGAACAGCTTTGAGCAGGTTTTACATGATTTGATATGATTTGACCATGTTTTTTCTACAAAGATTCAAGAGAACTATTTGAGATTATTTGAGTTTGCTGTCATGTTTACTCTCCCCTGCTGCGTATTTTGCGGGTCAAGTCCAAGTGCGTTGTGTTTCAAACAAACACGATTTTGGCCAAACAAGCAGCAAACACAATGATTTGATATGATTTGATTCCTCTTTGCACCTCTTTGTTCTAGGACCTACAGGACAAATCCCTGCAGTATACCTGGACCTTCCACGGGTGTTGTTTCTGCCGTTTGGCGAAACAGCACAAATTTCAGTCGTTTGCCGTCAAAAACGCCGTTTCATTTCAAAGGTGCCGTTTCGAGGTTTTACAGAGGTTACCAAACTAGCAGTTGGCAAAAGTCGCCGTTTGGTCGGGGAACGTCGCCGTTTGGTCGGGAAAAGTCGCCGTTTCAAAACCTTGATTGACATACCATCGAAAACACGTCAATGCAACAAGTGCTTCGGTACAAAATAGTGGGCGTTTGCTTGAAAAAGCAGTTTTGATTGAAAAGGCGGAAAAAATGCATACGTATGAAGACCCAGGTATACAATCAAACGATGTCAGTGGGTTTGCCAAGTCCCATGCGACGGACAGTCCAAACAACCTCGTCGAGAAGCAGGGCGACAAGTCCTGCTTTGGGGCAGGGCGATGAGTCCCTCATCCCGAGGTGATGACATGATGGAGGACGACGACGACTATCGCTGGTGTTACGTTTGCGGCTGTGGCGGTGCCTTAGCATGGGAGTGCAAGCCGGGTCACTTTGACCACTTAGTTACACGACTTAAAGAAACTTTAAAGCTTACTATGGGATGGGCCTTTCCAACTGCCAAGTATCAGAAGAAATGAATGAACGTTTTTGGTGACTTGACGCATGACCGAGGACTCAGTGCAGAAAAACGAGGACTCAGTGCTGTTTGACACTTTCAGGTACTCGAAACAGAGACTTGAAGCAGGGCCACAAGACCAGAAGTGGGGAAAATCCAGTGCAGAAGTCCTTTCAACGGCAACGGTCTGATCGCAACCGGACCTCCGAATTGTCAGAGCAGATGACCAGTTTTTATAAAAACAACAGGCTCACCTTGCTGAGAGAGAGAGAGAGAGAAAACTCCGGTCTACTGTTTTTAGGTGTTTTTTGTGGGCTTGCCTAGAAGTCGGACACGACACCTGATCCGTCACCTGATCCGTTTTACAGACGACTGAGGCAACACCCATCAGAAGCTTTGTGGTCCCCACAAAGGCGACGTCCGACGCGCGACGCGACGCGACGCGTTTCGGCGCACGGCGTGTGCCCGGAGTTGGCTGAAGAGACGGTGAAAGCTCATGTTGAAATAGAGGTCCCATGGTGGTCCCCCAAAAAAATTGGTTTGTCCAATAGATTTCGAAAAAGACTTTACATGATTTTACATTTTCTATCCAATTGGGGGTTGAAATATTCTTGAAGGAAGGTGAGTCACCATTGTTTTTGGTCTCGATTTTCACTTCGCTTGCCTCGTTCTGCCAGCTCCGTGCCCTCGCCTCTCGCCCTCGCCTCAGAACGCCTCGTTCGGTTACTTCAGGCAAGCAATGCATCAGCTGCTTGCGGGCGCAATGGACCCACCCTTCGGATGATCCCGATCCACAAGTGGCCTTCGCAGAGGAGTGACGCCACCGCGCAGGGGCGACGCGCGAGGCGACGCGCGAGAGGCGCGAGAGGCGCGAGAGGCGTGTGGTTGGGCAGGCGAGAATGGCCCGGTAACGGAAGATGTCGTGCCCGGCAAGTGTACGTAGAGGAGCCTGAAGCATCCTGAACCGGGACCCTAAGGTAGAGACTTTGATATCTCTTGATTAATAACCCCGCCAGTTGGTTTTTATGACCCTTTCATCCGGGGCTCGAATATCATCAATGGTCTACGTCTGCATTATTTTTGGTGCCGATTTGGGAACAATCATTGCTTCATGAAGAGGACCCATTCTCGGCCACTGCGGAGTATTTATCCCGCGGTTGATTGAGGCATGATGAGGCATGATGAGGCTTGATCTTCCATGTCCCAGATAGGCAGATGGAACAGTATGGTGTAGGATTTGGCGTTGTCATTTCGATTCCTTGCAGCGCTTCATGAAGACGGCGACTTGGTGACTCTTACGCTGAGGGGTGATTCGAGGGAAAGAGAAAGTAAATGAGGACATCGCAACGCAACAGTATCAATCTCATCCCTTCAAATGACCGTTACAGGCTCAACCCTCCAGAAAGTTGCACTGCTCTCCTGCCGTCTTGGTACGCACTGGTGGAGTGAAACAAAACTAAGTTCCACTGGCTAAAGCCAATCCTACCTGGACCATCCGACCAGTGTAGAGGGACCATGGCACTAGTCAGCCCACACTACGATCGATCTCTACCCAGGTCTGGTCAGCTGGTCTTGGTAGATGTCTTTGAGAACCGATTTCTGACGGATGACCCCTGAAGATCCCTGAAAAAGGATCGTCTCAAAGGCCCCTGGACTGGAGGAGTTTGTTGGCGCAGGTGTGTTGATGTCTTCCATGTTTGATGCTTAAGCTTGATGTCTTCTTCCAGGCCCAGGTTTGTTCGCCCAGGTCTGTTTGATGCTTAAAATTGGTTACGTCATGTTACTTCTTCAACCCCATTCAGGACATGATGTGGGGCATTTTTTTGTGGGGAAAGCTTTGGACACCCCTCAGATCACCCCTCAGATCACCCCAGAACCCCCCTCACACACCCTCGCTTCGAGACGCCTTTCGGTGCCTCCAGCCCACGCCGCCGCGGCGGACGAGCCGCGCGGCGGCAGGATGTGCTGCGGATCATCCCGTTGAAGGACGATCGGGTTCTGCCGGAGGAGTTAGTCACCAACCTCTTGAGCACAGGTGCACCGCCCGAGCCGACGTGCCAAGGTGAGAGGTGGAGGAGAGGTAGTGGCTGTGGAGGTGTGCCATGTATAAGTCCATTGGAGGTGACCGTGGAGCTCCCCAGTCTTGTTCAGTTGGACCCAGGTTGCCTCGTCTGTCTGTTCGGTCGACGACCTTGAACGTTCGACATGTCGAGCACGGTTGGGGTGGACGGGTCTTGCCCGTCGCCGCCCAAAGAAGCCCAGCGAACAGATTCAACGAGAGGGTTCAAGGAAAAGAGATGAAAAGAGGCCTTCAACTTGGCAGGCAGGGTGAAGTATTGCGATGCTGCCAGGGATTTTTCTGCGGCGCTGTACTTGTAGTAGCTTGGCAAGGTATAAGAATGTATCAAACATTGTGTTCTATGGCAATCATGAGGTTCCAAACCACTTCAAGTAGCAAGACAGTACAGGACCGGCATTTGCGGCATGTAGGATCCAAAAAAAGGGCCAGGTGTCAGAGGAGGGAGGAGGGTCAGCAGTGTTGAATACTTAGATTTACCTAGGACTTGTGATCCAAGTGCAGCTCCAAAAGCAGCGATGCTGTCGATGGATTGTAGACAGATCTCTGGGAAAAGATTGATGTCACCGCGTAAGAAGTCACACTGTCCTGCATGTGTTCATTTCAAGCTGGCACCTTACTCGCCCTTGGGGGTTTGACTCGGGGGAGACAACTCCGAGCGTCCTTTCTGTTTGGGGAAGTAGCGAAGACCGATGCGGAACCCAAACCTCTCGAGAACGGGCAGTCAGAACAGGCAGTGTCCAACAGGCACCCAAGGTTCCGCTCAGGCAGCTCTCCAGAACGCCCCCACAGGAGCTTGCTGACATCAGCAAGCTGGCAGGTCACCCTCCTGTTTGAAAAAAACACAGACAGACAGAACGGTCCCTATAGACAGGTGGTCCCTATAGACCATCCCAGACCTCCCACAGGTCCGTCTCGCCACATCCCAACCGGCGCTGCTGGAGGCCTTTGGAGTCAGCTGAACATCCGCGCGGGGGTGCCGCCCCACCGGAGGGTTCGGACCGTGCCTGCGCGGCGGAGCTACGCCACGCATCGCACCCTTTGAAAACGGTCACAAGACGTGCCCAAGAAGTTGAAGAAGAACTTGAAGAATCATGGGCAACTTGTTTTTTTGTTTTCAGCTGTTTGGTCATACCTGGATCTGGATAGAGTTGAAAAGGTTCTTCAACCCCACGAACATCAGCCTTGATGTTCACCTGTTTTATATACCCTCCTGCACAATCTACAAACTCCCAGTGGCTTGACACGGCCGATGGTCCCCACGCGGAGAGACGCGCGAAACCCTTTTCACGCGCGGAGAGACGTGGAGAACGGAGCTCCATTGAGTGAGCCAATGCGAAGAAACGCAAAAAGCGAGTGACCGTGGCTACCGTGGCTGTCGTCGCTGGTCATTTGGGGATCCTTACGACCCAATTGGGGGCACGGAAACAAAAAAACATATCAGAATGACGGTCCAGTTGAGGGAAGAAGCTTTCCACCTCAGGCTCCACGGAACATCTCATCGGTGAGAGATGTTCCGTCTCATTGATCTCACCGGGTCAAAGGTGGTCGATGAACTCATGGTGCGGCACGGCGCAAGTAGCACCCGACGTGATGGGAATGGAATGAGGAATGAAACGCGTCGTGTTCGAGAATGCAACCGTTTTACCCGGTTGAAAAGCCAGGCACAAGCTGCATGTATGTGGCTAAATGTGGCTAATCCAATTCCAGTCTTGACTGCCCCAATCGCTGGGTGAAAATCCATTCATATCACGCATATAACCTATAAAACTAGCAGTCACAAGACGGGGTGCTATCCATGGAGGAAGTCGGGGTGCTATCCATGGAGGACCACTCACTGGATGGGACCAGCCACACCACCCAACTCCATGTGACTCCTGGTATACAACAAAAATACCACCCAACTCCATGTCATGTGACTCCTGGTATATACAGGTTTTTTCTTTTGTGGCTTCTCGCCCGGTGGCGGCTTCCAGGTCCACGTCGACCCTTCCAGAGATGGTGCTCCTCGGTCGGACTGAGATGGACCATATTTTCCCCCCAAGAAATGGGTGCTCCATGAATGCGAAGGAAGGAGACGGTCCGTAGACCCGGTCGGATTTCTGCATTCCTTTTTGGGAGACGATTTGACTCTATGACAGGGAGTCTTCTATGTTCAGAAACCCAAAAGAAAAGAACGCGCCCCCCTCAGCGTGGGCGCTGGGCAACGTGCCACCATGTCGCCCATCCCATCCGTTTGCTCGGCGACCGCCTGCCGCGCAGCTCTCCTGGCGAAGCTTCAACCGCCTGCCGCTCGCACGCCTGGACGGCCCAGCGGGAGCCAAGAAGAGGGCTGGAGACAGGAAGAGTAGCTGGTAGCACTCCGACCATCCAAGAAGATGTTCCTCAAAAAAGGAAGACTGGGTTTCCAGTTGCCGGCGCCAGTTCCAGGTCCATTCTGTTTGTGGAGAGGAACATTTTGCCTAAATAGGCTCGGTCAAGAGAAACAAGTACCCGCTCTTGCAGATGTTGTGAGTAGAATGTTCTCACATAGACAAAAAGGTTGCTTGCACCAAACACGTTGGTTGCACTCTAATCAATCCGCACGTTTTGAAGAACAGCAACGGCACCAAACCGAGGGCGTTGTGCCGTCGGAATTTGTGCTGCCGGTGGCGCCGCAGGCTGTGCCTGCGGGTGACAGTGCAAGACTTGGGTGATAGATGTGGCTGGTTTTGGTGCTGTCGTTGGCTCAACAAAATATACAATCGGAGCACCGCATCACATCGAAGGGGAAACCACTCTGTTCCTGAAGGAATACCCTCCAAGAGCCTCCAAGTCAATGACCTCGTCGTAAAATTTGATCATTAGGAAGAAGGTGAAAGAACAGATCATGAAGGCTATATGTTATGCGTGGTATGCATAGTATTACATACATAATGCTTATATGTTTTCTTTAGCAAACAAATTTTACTTGGCGTCCTGTTCATTGCATGTTGTCTAGAGTTTGGTCTTCACCGCTTCCACTATCCTTGTCAGATGGCCCCGTAACAACCCTTGAAGTAGCAGGACAGGGTGGAGTGTGATGAGGCATTTGTCCCATTTTGGTATATAGATCCCCAAAATAGATAGACAAGTAGATCCCCACTAAAAATGTATTGGAGAACCGTTTCTATATGAATCTATCTATTTGTAGACCACTATAAAAAGAAAACAGTAATATGATGAACTATTATGTTTTTACTGGCCTTTGCAATATGAAACCAGAGGTCACCACCTGTTCTATCACGTGCCTCGCCCTCTGAGGTCTCAAAACGGGGCGGTTCCGTCAAAAGCCACCGCATCATTATTTATGAGTAGTGGTCCCCTAAATAGATAGAAACGCACTGCGCACGGTTTCCAATACATGTTTAGTGTGCAAATGGACCATTCTATCTCTTTGGGGGTCTGTAAACACATGTCCAAACTTGTACTTCCAGATTGCTTTTGGATCACCACGTATCACATGTCAAAGACGTATCACGTCGGGGGTCAGACAAACGGTGTTCTCAGTCCTGGGAGATTGATCTTGTGTTGGGGATTAGCAGGTGACCCTGATGGGTGTTCTGCTAAAACTTAGGGATGTTGAATAAGATCCAACACCATGGGTGTTCTGCAGTATGAAGGGAAGAAGCATAAACAGGAACGCCACAGACGGAGACAGTCACCTATTGTCACCTACTGCTTCTGGTACTCGCAATTTGGTCTCATGTCTCTCGATAACCATATTTATTTGTATAATCTCCTTCCGCCGACAAGCAATTCTCCTGGAATTTCCCCACAGCTCAATCCTGCTTGGGCGCAATTGGCAATATATCCGAGCATCAAACAGGTTCACAGCTCACACAGTTTGGGGCGGAAGTTCTGAAAAGTTAAGTTCTGCCAGTTCAAACATGGGAAAAACAACCAACAAATACCGACGCTATAGACGTGGCCAGAACGGTTACTTTTCCCAGCTAGGGTGGTCGTCTTCGGATGAAGTCTCAGTGAAAGAGGGCACCCAAGGGATCGCTCGACCACTTTTTCTTTGCTTAGCGAGGTACGCTTAGGTATGTAGATAAGCGAGGTAAGCTTATTACTACTTAAGCTTGGTAAGCTTAGTAAACTTTGTTTTCAGAGTAAGCTTAAGTAGTAAGCTTGTATGCACCACCTGCTTGCCCGTCACTTGCTTTGCTGTTTTTGGAAAGCCATATATGGTGCCTTTGTGTTTCTCTTCTTTTCATTCGTAACCTGTTGCCATCCACAGACGTCGACGTTGCTGGTGTTCACTCACCAAACCTCGTTGATGGTGCCTGGGTTTTAACGCTGATGTTTAGTTTAGTGCCGAAGACATCGTCTATAGACGTTTCGTTTTACACACAGCCGACGAGACGCTGATGTTTTTGGTCTGTCCTTCCTGATGGTGAAGTCTCCATCTAGTTGGGAGGTAGCGGAGGTAGCAAAGCCTTAAGCTAAGCTTCTTCTTCCCTGATCTTCCCTGAAGACAGGAAACCGACCTTGTCACCAAGACGACGTCGACCACACTCGTCATCAGTTCCCGGCGAGGTCACGGACCAGACACCGACCCACCGAGCCGTCGCCAGGCGCCGGCAGCTCGCTGGTGCTCTGCGGTGGCTTCGACTTCTCGGAGGAGGTCCCGCTGGCGCAGTGCGAGGCGCGGAGAGGAGAGCGGAGAGAACGGAGAGCGGGGTGATGAGCTGGCAGGACATCACTAGGGTGAAGAAACAGTTCGTTAAGTATTTTTTGCGGGGGGAGGGGAGAGCACATCGCTGTGGGAAAAGCATGGGTTTGTTCGTTGGACCAGGTGAGAACAGGTCAGAAAAGGATGGATCTGTTTGGACATGGGGGACCCTCTTGACCTGAATTGAACCACAAGGAGATTGCAAGTGTATTGAAAAGGGAAACCATTGATCATTGGAGCTGCTTTCCGTTCAAAAGAGCTTCCCAAATCTGATGTGAAGAGCTCCCCATCCAATCAGTCTTCTTTGCCCATGATGCCCATTGAACCATGGTTAGATGAATGGATAATCCTTAAGTGGGCGGTAAGTAATCAGCCACAGAATTGATGGAAGAACTGTCCGGGCCGTCCTCCTTTCAGTTTGTAACGATTGAAAGCCGAAGAAAGAGCCGGCCATTTTGCTGGGTGTGGATTACAAAGCCATCGATAGTGAGATAGATAAACGCGTATGTCTCTATAACATATCAATAGTTCGTTTGTAACGTTACAGTACATTATAGTTAATAAATTAAGAACTATAACATATACAATACATATATCAATATAGTAACTCTGCTGCATTTCTTCACATGGTGCTTTTTCCGCTGCTCTTGTTCTCTGCCGAGGCCATCGAGGTGTCGAAGCTCCTGAGCGGCGATCCCGTCGTCCAGGCGATCCCGTTCGACCGAGGTGGAGGGCGATGAACCTAACGTTAGGTGCGCCCCACTGCACACTCATCACAGTGGAATCCTAGTGGAGTCGGAATCCATGCGGTTTGGAGACCGGTGATGTGTTTCTATGTTCGCCGAACCTGGGTCTGACAGCCCCTGCCCCGGAGGGAGGATGTGGTTCTTGCCATTTTTGTCTAGGTTCCCCCAAAAACGCAAATCCAAGAAGAGCAGAAGGGGTTCCCAATCCGTGGATTTCTTCAGGACGATGCTGAGCATGATTTCAGACATGTAGGCTTGACAGCGCGCTAAGTCCGATCGACGATCGCCGATGGCTATCAGGCTGCTTCAATGGTTTGGGCTGTCGGGTCGGGCTGGGAGGTCCTTTTCTCAGCACTGCATGGGGTCCTGCACTCCGTCGTCCACTACGTGTCGACCGGTCCCATGTCGTCCACTTCGCCGGTTCCAAGAGAAGAGGACGTCAGACCCCCAGAGGACATGGATCTCGTCCGGGCGACGTTGGAAAGTCTGGAGTGGGAAGGCTCGACACAGTGTCACTACGTCAATGAACGAAGTTTTTGGCGGCCCCTCCAAACCCAAAATACGCACAGATCCGCAAACCCATTCGCCAGTCCACCTGCTTTCGCGGCCGGGCTTTGGCCATGCTTTGCCCCGGACCTCCCTCCCC